ATAAGATAAGATAAGATAAGATAAGATAAGATAAGATAAGATAAGATAAGATAAGATAAGATAAATTTATTGTCATTGTACTCAGAACCTGAGAACAACGAAATAAGGTGCTCTTTCACAACATACAACTGAACAACACAAAAAAAACCATATACAAATAACAATGTAAAACAAATTAAAACAAATAACAGTTAAAAAACTATACAACCGGGATATATATATGTTAAGACCACCAGATTCATAACTCTTTATTAAATGTCTTTTTAGCTGTTTGGAGAAAGATAGACTTGACTTAGTTTCAAGGAAGTAATAGTTCCTAATTTTTATGTTGGTCTTTCAGGTAAATATCACCGACGGCGAATAGATGAAAGTGAGATAACTATCATTGCTGACAAGATATTCTATCATGAAAATTACTCTTCAGTCACCTATGATAATGACATTGCAATACTACATCTATCCCACCCAGTTGTTGTCAATAAGTATATTATACCGATTTGCTTGCCTACCCAAAACCTGGCAAATCAACAGTTGATGACCGAAGGGATTCAAACAATAGTGACAGGCTGGGGAAGCCAGAGTACAAATCATAAGAAGAATTTCTCCTCGGTTCTCCATTTTATTGAAATCCCTGTAGCATCACGGAATGACTGTATCCATTCTATGTGGAATTCTCTAACAGATAACATGTTCTGTGCAGGGATACAAGGAGATATACGGGATTCTTGTAATGGAGACAGTGGTGGTCCTATGGTTGTAAAATTCAAGAACACCTGGTTCCTACTTGGAATAGTGAGTTGGGGAGAAGGCTGTGGGGATCCTAATAATTTTGGAATCTACACTAAGATCAGTTCATATCTTGACTGGATCAGCCAGAAAATGAAATCATAAAATTATTATGCTAATGATCAATAAAAACAGAACATACTAGTGATTCTGTACTTTGTGTTACTTTTTGTCAATGGTCTCACTATTTTATATACCAAGAATCTGGGATATATCTATTATAGATCCTTTGTAAAAAAAAAAAAAAATGTTGACAAATTCACTTTGTTTAAATGCAGCAAAAGTTTTCTATGACAATCCTGGTTTTACAACAATCTTGGTTTCAAGAAGACAATTGGGGAATTTCCCAACAGTTTGACAGACAGTTCAGCTCAAAACAGGTATCAGGATGCAAACTGGAACTGTATTCTATTGTCCATGAGTAGCTTCTTTCTGGATGCCATTTGCAGTTGGTGCTTTAGTTTACTGAGTCCTTCTTGAAGATGATGACTGGAGTATCAGTGAAGAAAGATGAAAAACCAACTCAACCATGAATGAGTCTACAGTGTGGTGATAAAAGAGGTGAAATAGACATATTTCTCCTCATTTATTACAGTCTTTAACACCATCAATCATATTATCTTATTGGATCTCTTGTGATAGTTAGGGATTGGGGAAGAGTTTTGCAGTGCTTCTGCGCCATTCTTTATGAATAGTTTCAATCTATTGTAGAAAAGGTTGGCCCAGTGACCCCTCACTTATGAGGAACCACAGGAATCAGTCCTCACCACCTTAATAGTTAACATTTATTTCATTTATTTTATTTATCAATCGCTTACAAGATAATAGGAATAAGTATAAACATGAGTAAGAATATAGGAAATAGGTACGTATAAATGGGGTCAATAGGACAGGGATGGTAGGCACGAGTGTGCACTTATGTACACCCCTTTACAGTATGTGGAACTACTGGGGAAGGTCATAGAACAATTTAGAGTAGAATATCATTAGTATGCTGATGATATCAAAGCATAAATCATTATCTTGAGTTGTGTGGAGGGGCTGCTATTACTATGTCTTAGTGCCTGGAGCCTGTGAAGGTCTGGTTGGAAGAGAACAAGCTCAAATTAAATGCAAGCTAGTGGGAGTTCTCTTTTTGGTGTGTGTTATCCTTAATAGTCACTACTATAGAGAGTTTGTGGGGTGAAACCCATGCCTATTTGACATAACTCCTACAGTGTTCCTTTAGAACAGTTACTCTTATTTGTTTTCTATATTAATATGGAGTATACATATATACTTTCCATGTGCTTTCCTGTTTCCTTTCCTGAACAATAAATTGCCTTCCATGATATAAAATCACATCAAAATCTGTTTCTCAGAAGGAAGGCAAAAGGCCATGTGTTAAAACTCCATACTTTTAATCTAATCACCTTAATGGTGCATGGGGCACCTCTGCTATCACAATATTGTAGCTCTGTGTGGCAGGTTGTCCTGCTCAGAGCCTTCAGATCCATCTTCTGCCAAACCCATGCATCACTTTGAATAGGCTCCTGTGTCAAAGTGATTTTCCATCTTGTTTGGTTCTCTTCATGTCAATGACCAACTAAACATATAATATTTGAATATTTGGGAAGATTATATTTAACTTACATGTTTTAGGAGTAAAAATTCTTGGTCCATCTTATTTTAAATATTTTAGATTGACTCCATGTTTGTGACATGGGATGTTTCCCGTCTCCCAAATCTCTAAGATGTTCCAGGCTAGAACTTGTTGAGGAAGATTTTTAATTCAAGGTATTTGCATGTGCTAAAAGCAAAATATTATCAAAATAAATGAATAACTACAACTCAAGTGCAGACATCCAGAAAACATTCCATTTGAAAGCAGAGGAATAGAAGATTTTGTGGGCAAGTGTCTTTCAAAAAGTCTTTTGTGGAATGATGAATTAAAGATAGGAAAGGATTCTCCCTCTCCTGCCCCAAGTTCCATAAAAATATGAGTATTATTTAAAAAAAAAAGAGGCCACAAGTAAGGAAAAGGCTTTTAGGATCTTTTTAATTTTAAAATGTTTGGGCTACAGTGGTGGTTGGGGTTTTTTTGCCATAGTATCCTGAGACCAGAACTTCTATGTCAATATTTGCAGTAGTTTAATCATCAACATAAAATTTCCAATAGCTTTCTTTCCTAGCTTTTGTAACGGTCTAAATAGTACTTTTTCCTTCCTAATCAGGTAAGAGAACACAACATTTCTAATTTGTTGCAAACAAACAGAGATTGTTTCCTTTAAAACTGCTTGTTTCCCCCGCTTTATTTTCCTCCTCTTAACATGTACCTGGTTTCCTGAGTGACAAAAGTTTCTGTTTTTGGATGCCAATTGTTATTTGATGAAATAAACATAATCAACAGCTGTCAGAACAAAATGAAATACAATCTGTTCCTGTAGGGTGCCTCTTACAACTTCAGTTTTAATAGGAGATTAAAAGGAAATGGGCCTTATCTGTTTGCACTACTATTCTTCAGATGTTTTCTCACTTGGACATATTGTTAGATGCACATTGCTAGTGCATCAGATCAGTGATTAAAAACAGATACTTCTATCTTCCTCAACATGTTAATTCTTTCTTAAAAAGCAAAATACCTGAGTTATTCCAGTACATTTAATTTCTGGTTTTAGGAGATATCCAAATGGTCACAAAATAAATTTGACTTCTATTCCTTTTATTTCTAGATCTGTTGCCTTCTCTGCTAGTCCCCATCTTTGTTTTTCATATGCACATAATTCTTATTGTCCAGTTCTCTCTTTCTTGTCTCAGTACTCTAGGAATATTTTGTTTAGTCTTGTTTCCTATGTGTAGGTGACTGTCTCCAAATCAATATATTCTACTATTCACTTTGGATGTACAATGGCTAGAATTTCCTTGGGGCCAACCTTGATTTTCTTAATCTGTTGCTTCATCATCTTTTCACATTCGTTATCAGGTACCTATTATTCATTACCAACAGTCACAATATGGATCATGTATTAACAACTGTAGTTAATTTTTAAACCCATGTGTTTCTGAAAGTTACTTTAAGAACAAAGTTATTTATTTTAATTTCATAAGTGTTGTTCTGCGATGGATTTTGGAGATGAAACTCAATCACATGATTTTAAATATATTCAATGATGGTTGTCTTCCTCCCCCCATATTTAAGCCCAGGGGAAATGACCAAATATATCCACTGGTTTAGCCCTGCAGTATTCTGTATATTCAGTATGTTTGGTGTGAATATAAATATATATACACCCTGAATTAAAGAAACCGGAATTCTTAGTGATATCCTACTCTTTATCTACAGTATTTGTGAAAAAAGAGAAGGCAAACCAGGTTCTGAGGATTCAGAAACGTGCTAACACTTTCTTGGAAGAGATTCTCCCAGGAAATTTGGAGAGAGAATGCAGAGAGGAACAATGTTCATTTGAGGAGGCGAATGAGATTTTCAAGTCAAAGGAGAAAACAGTGAGCAATGGAATTGGAGGGACCTCTGACTATTTCTTGCAAGTGTAAAAGAAAAGTACACCTATCCAAATAGCCACAGAAACTGCTGTTTCCTCAAAATAGCCACATTCTTAGAAATTACTGTTTTGTTTGTTTTATTGTTGTTGTTGTTTGTGCTTTCAAGTCAGTGTTGACACTCGGTAACTGCCTGGATAAGTTCTTTTAGTTTTCTTGGCAAGAGTTTTTTAGAAATAGTTTGCCATTGCCTCCTTCCTAGGGCTGAGAGAAAATGACTGGCCTAATGTCATCCAGCTGGCTTTGTATAAGACAGAACTAGAACTCACAGGCTCCTAGTTCCCAGCATGGTGCCTTAACCACTACACCAAACTGGCTCTCAGAAACCATTGTAGTTATTTTTGGAGTTCCGGTTTGCAGCGCTTCGGGGTAGGTAGGAATCCGCGATCGTGCGCGGTTTCTGCCTGCGCTCGCCGCTGGAGTGCCCTGAGCCATCCGGCTTCAGGGCTAGCCACCTCCGTAGAAGGTGGTGAAGATAGGGGGGATCTGGCAGGGTTGAGAGAAATCGCACCTCTCTTCCCTAGCCGGCTAAACCCCCTTTTCTGAAGGCGGTAGAGCGGCGGTCAGAAATGGCCGCCACAAAGAAGCGCTCAGCCGGAAAAGAAAGTGCAGGAGGAGTTAAGAAGAAGTGAAAGTTTTTTTGCTGACCGGGACAAAGCAACAACGAAGGTATCCTGGAACTTAAAATTTGTGAAAGATACATTGTTCCCAGAGATTTACAAGTGGCGAATGGAAGTAAAATGGAAAGTTCTTTTTTTTTCACTCTCCTTCCTAACGTTGACAGTGAACAGAAATATATGAGAAATTGGAAAAACCCGCTTTGGCATCAATAGGTAAACTGGATAATTAAATGCTAAAGGGATAATAAGGATTTCTGAACATTTAAAAAAAAATTTTTTTTGCTGTAAGTGGGAAGGGAGAGGAAAAGAATTGGAGCAGGATTTAGAAGTAAGGAGGAGATTGCCTAGAATTTTAAAGAATCATTAAATACTAACAAGACTTTTAAAAGATACATTTTAACTGGAACTTTGCAACTAAACAGTAACCCCAGAAAGAGAAAGTGAAGAAAGAAGAAAGTGCTAAAAGAAACAGCTTATTTGGACTGTTTGGTGACTTTGGGACTTTTGGAAATTATCTTTGAAGGACTAAAAACACTTGGGTGGTTGTTTTGGAAAAAAAATTCTTTCTACAATGGCATCACTTGTGGATGAATTGAAAATTGAATTCAAAAAATACAAAGAAGAAGAACAAGAAGGGAAAGACTCTCTTGGCACTCTTTTTCAATTCTTAGAAATGGCGATTTGCACCTATGAGAAACTGACTGCGCAACAAGATGATTGGGATAAAGAAGAAGCCATCTTTGATGAACAAGTAACTTTATTTGGGGAAGAAAGGGAGAAGAAGGAAAAGAAAAAGGGGACTTTAAAATTTAAAAAAACAACCAAAAAAGAGAAAAATAAGGTGAAAAGTGGATATAATGTTAGAAAACAACAGAAAGGGGGAATGCAGAAGAAGAAAAGGAAGGTGGAGAGACAAGGGGGTAAAAAGGGCAGGGAGAAGAAGAAGCAAGGGAGGAAGGAAGGGATGAGAAGCCTCAATGGTGTGGAGCAAGATGTAAAGAAACAAGATTCATTTAGAGATAATGGGTAAAATTTAATTGAAAAGGGGATTCTGCAAAGGTACATAAGATTGTATTGTTATATTTGTACTTAGAAATAATGTTAGAAAATTGGAAACAACATGTGAACAAAAAATGGGATAAAATATTCAGTGTAACTTAGTGAAATTTTTGTGAATAAAAGGAAGGCAATGAAATAAATGAGAGAAACATTTTAATGATACAATGATTTAAAATATAAGTGATGTGAAGTGGGGGGGAAATAACTATGGAAAGTATAAGTGTTCCCATAAAAGTATGATATTCAATTGAAAAGTAATGTGTAAAATGTTTAAGATTTAAATGAATATTAATATTAATGATAGATTTGAATTGGCATGGATAGTTGTTTTAATTGTATTACATACTTATAAATTTTTCTTTTTTAAAAATATAATGTGTAACTTTAGAATGTACTAAACAGAATCCCAAAGGAAGTTATGTACTATACTAAGTGTTATAAATTTAGGAGAAAGAGTTAAAGGCGTCACACTCCAATTAGTGTACAGGAGAAATTTTGTTTAAAGAGAAAAGATAAATAGATAGCTGGAAACAGAACAGACAAAGAATAATAAGCATAATGATCTGAACTGAGATGAGATAAATAAAATAAAACTAAGAAAGTTAAAAGAGGTGAGAAGCTATATAGAAAATGGAAAATGGTAATAAGATATGGAATGATATATAAAATGAACATGAATTTGTGTCTGTATGAAGAGATGTAACCCGGGATCAAGCAGCTTTCAGAAAAGATGTTTTATGTTTTTATGTTTTGTTTGTTTGTGTGTTGTTTTTGAAAATTAATAAAATTTGTTTAAAAAAAAAAGAAACCACTGTAGTTATTTTTGAAACATTTAAAATTAACAGTAATTTGGTAAGAGCATTACAATCAATAAATACAAGAATTACACATACAGTGCTTGTCTGCTCCTCAGATTCACTGGTTTGAGATGGGCAGTTATACAAACTGAATAAATAAGTTAAATACAAGAGCCAGCAACCTTCTGGCTTTCAGTGGCTGGAACAAATATTTCAATTTCTTTAAAGAGTTAGCAAAAAATCTTCACATGTTTAAAATTGAATTGTATATATACTTTTCCAGCTGAAATCATGAATTCCTATCACTTGTCCTTCGTCTCCTACAAGTCTTACAGGATGTCACACTAAAGAGGTGTGGGAATATTTTGGCTGTTTTTCAGGGGTGGGATTCTACCTGGTCGGACCGCTTCTATAGAACCGGTTATTATGATTCTGCCCAGTTCAGACAATCAGAAAATCGCGCCACTGGCTGGCCCTGCCCCTCCCTGCCCACTCACTCCTTACCTGGCATGAGCGCCATCAAACTTGCCTGTGTTTGTTAGTTTGTTTTTTCCCCCCCCCCCCCCCCCGTTCCGCTGTGCCGGGCTATTTAGATTAGCTAGAAAGCAGGATTGTTGGATTTCTTGTTTTCTAGTTAATCTAAAACCAGAGCTGAACCTTCTAGGACTGAAGGTTCTATTTTTCAGTGCAGACTCAGATAGCAGATTGCAGAATCATAGAGCTCTAAGTGAATCTGTGATTCTGTGAGCGACTCAGTCTGCCTGCCTGCTTTGCCTGGTTTTGGGTAAAAGTTGCTCTTTTTTATAAAAAATTCAATATTTACATACATGGTGTGTTGAGAGTTAATTTTGTGAGTTTGCTTGCAAGCAAATTTTATGTGACAGACTCGGAGAATGGAGCTGGAAAGCAGGTTAGTGGGGTGGGGAGGGAATGGAATTTTGCAGTATCCTTCCCCTGCCACACCCACCAAGCCACACCCACAGAACCGGTAGTAAAAAAAATTGAATCCCACCACTGAATCATATGTGTCTTAATTACTTACATTTAATTGTTTGAGTTAATTTATAAGGATGCTTGGCCTAATAACATCTGTTTTTATTTTATAGATGGAGTTTTGGTTCGATTACCAAGGTAAATATTTTGTTCATTTTCTGTGTATTCTGCACAAATAATTGTTCATTAAAACTTAAAGCTTATAAATACCTATGCTAACTTTGGCTCCATAAATCTTGACTTTTTATACATTTTGAAATCTATTGAAGATTTTGCTTTTGTTCTGGCAAGAATTTTGTTTATGTGATAAAATTATTTTAATGTATTGCTCATGTAATGAACTGTTACAGTTTTCCTCCTTTGCTCATCAGTGTACTGTATTTTAATATTTCATTGACATTACTATTTTTGTTATTATTTATAATTTTAATGTTTTAGATTGTGTAGTATGTTATTGAAATTGAAGTGGGTAGGAAACTAATGCATAAATAAGAAATTACTCTAAATACTTATCTGGATTTGATTTGTATCATCAAATCTCTTTTTCCAAACAGATTTCAACCCCTGTAAAGAAAATGTATGTAGAAATGGTGGAATATGTAAGGTCAGACACTATACATATTCCTGTACATGTCCCCCAAGGTATGGAGGGAATCAGTGTGAAATAGGTGAGTGACGTATAACATTAACCAACCTGCTATTGTTGTAAGAAGATGCTACCTTTTGGGGCAGCTTTCTAACCTGGTGAGACTTCGTTGGCCAAAAGTCATACTAGTGAGGGAAATAAAAGGGTAGTTCAGAGGGCACATGTCAGGAAAAGCAGTCATGTAGTTGGGATCAGAGAACCAAAGTCCCCAATTTGTCAAACGACTTTGCTTCAAATATAAGATGCATCAGATATTATCAAGGAAAATAGGTCTGGTCTTGTGTGTTTTCAAAGTTTTCTCTTTACTTCTACATTTTTTCTGTTGAAGATTCTCTTAAAATACTCTCTGTGATTTAACCCGCTCAGTATCTTTATTTCCTCCGTCATTAACTGTACAGATAGTCCTCAACTTACGACCACAATTGAGCCCAAAATTTATGTTGCTGAGAAACTTTTTAAGTGAAGAATCACTGCAATTCTTAAATTAACATGGCTGTTAAGTGAATCTGGTTTCCCCATTGACTTTGCTTGTCAGAAGTTTGCATGACTCCAGGATACTGCAGTCATCATAAATGTGAGTCAGTTGTCAAGCATCCGAATGTAAATCCTGTGACCATGGGGATGCTACAAGGGTCGTAAGTGTGAAAAATGGTCATAAGGTACTTTTTTCAGTGCCATTGTAACTTCAAACAGTCACTAAATGAACTGTTTTAGTCAAGGACTATTTGTATTGCATGTAACTACTTAAAGGTAAAAAAGAATGATAACATTATTTTAAAAAAATAAAATAAAATATAACATAAATAAATAAATGGCTTGGTTTTTCTCTAAATGCATTGTTGTTCCCCTTCTACTTGTTAGTAAGATGGTAGTCTGCGGGAGTCTTATCTCACACATACTGGGATTGGAGAAAAGATCAGGTAGACACACCTCCTGGAAAGTAGGTGGTGGTAGCAAGTAATCTGTATGTTAAGGCAGAGGGTCAAGCTGGGATCAAAGGATTCTGAGCAAGATGGTGTGAGATACCAACGTTTCTCCTTAGGAAGTAAGTCTTAATACTAAATGGGTGATCCAGTGGAATCTGGAGAGCCAGTTTAGTCTAGTCACTAGTGCTTGAAGACACTGGGCTAGAAACCAGGAGATGTGAGTACTACTCTTAAGTGTAAGGCCAGCTGGGTGACACTGAGCAGTCACTGTCTCTCTCATCCCTAGGAGATAGCAATGGCAAATCGCTGCCAATAAAACATTGGCAAGAAAACTGCATGGACTAACTCAAAGGCGTCCATGTGCCCGTGCGCACCCACCCACCCACAAACACAGAAAAGCAGACATAAGAATAACTTGAAGCCCCCCTCCACTAATTTTAAAAATGATAAGTTGTGATTTGGGTTACCATTACTGATAGCCTATTAGAGGATTACAGTCTGTTGGAGAGAGTAAGTAGTAATGACCGGGGTGGGATTCAAAATTTTTAACAACTGGTTCTGTGGGTGTGGCTTAGGTGGTGGGCGTGACTTGGTGGTCATGTGACTGGGTGGACATGGCTTGGTGGTCATGTTATTGGCTGGGTGTCGCCAACTCAATATCACTCACATTGAGGCACGCATCTCCTTGCCTGGCCTCTCATGACTGTGGGGATGCTGCAACAGTCATAAGTGTGAAAAATGGTCATAAGTCACTTTTTTCAGTGCCATTGTAACCTTATATGGTCACTCCACACAAACAAAGTACCAGCAAAGGAGGGGAAAAAAACTCCAGAGATGTTCCTGAGACAGGAAGTCTAGTCCTGCCAAGAATGTAATAAGGGGTAACAGAGAGGCAGTTTCTGTAAGCAACCCCAGAATGTTTCCTTCCTGCCTTCCTTACAGGATTAGGCCAGTAATTTCTTCTAACAACCAGTTGTCCAAACTGCTTAGAATGTTAACAACCGGTTCTAGCGAATAGGTGTGAACTGGTAGAATCCCACCCCTGGTAATGACCCAAGAATCACTTCCCCTGTCTCTCATGCAGAGAAATTTGAATGCTGGTACAAAAATGGAGGGTGTTGGCAATATTGTCAAGATACCGAACATTCACTTCGTGTGATCTGTTCCTGTGCAACAGGATATACGCTAAATGAAGATGGGAAGAGTTGTACTCCCTCAGGTAATGACTCATCTTACTGGTTTAAAAATGTGGGTTTAAAAACTAAATGTTCCAGAAGCCCTTTTCAGCCCTTTTTCAACCCAAATGGGTTGATGTTATGGTTTCAGAATTTCCAACCAGTCAGCATGAAGAGCAAATAGATTGTCTCCTTTAGATGCACAGACCATGAGGTATTATGTTGAATAAAATTGGACCAAATTTTCTCTTTAGATGCAGAATAGCACTCTGTGAGTGCTTTAAATGTTGAATTCATTTTGCCACTGCACATCTGACATAAGTGAGCGGTGGCAGCTCAGGATTACCTACTTAAATATATCTAGGGGTGTTATTTAGCTAGTTTTATAAATAATTAGAGGTACCAAGACTGATCAGACATTTTCCCCAACCAATGCAAGCAGGGAGGTTACCTAAATCCATAATTAGATATTTATCATAATTTAACTTGTTGCTTGTTGTTTCCACAAGATTTCCCAATGTAGAAAAGATAGCAAGAGAATTAGTAGGCAGAAGGCAATTATAAAATTGCAGTTATCGAATAGAACAACTTGGGGAGAAGGGGATTTTATCTCAATATCTAACAATAGTGGCCTCTGACCAACTGTCATGGATATGTTGTTACAGTTAAGAAAACAATTAACGGAGGAATCTAGCAATTATTAAAAGTTCCGATTCTGGTTGGCTATTGGTACTTTTATCCATCAGGCATATTTTATTTTTCCTGTTATTTGACAGGTTACATATTACATTCATTTATTCATTTATTCATTATTCATTCATTCATTTATTTATTTATGCAGTATATGTTGTGAATTTTACACTAAATAAAAGACAAATTAAAACAAGAAAGAAAAAAGGAAAAGAAAGAAAATGAAGTTATAAAATATGACTTTCAACCTTCTCATCAACAGATAATTACTGTCTTATAATTTTCTCTCCCTCTTAAATGTTACACAAATTCTTTCACCTCACAGTTCACATCTTTTAAAATCCTCAAACCCATATAACTTTTTTTTTCTTCTTTCAGCAAAATAAATTAGGACACAATGTAAATTAAGTAAGTTACCCACACTGTTTAATCTGCCTCATTTTAGATAGCTTTCCTTGTGGGCTGATGAAGCGATCCACACGTTCTTATGAGGGAGAAAGAATCAAACAAAGTGAAATTGATGCTCCTGAGAACATAACCAACTGGAATCAGACGTTAAGCTGGGCTTCTTCAGGATGGTTGAATCTCACAGCAGAAACTGAAGATGACATGGAAAATCTGGAAGGAAATTTCACAGAGGAGGATTTACTCAGATGGCCAAATATTAACTACACAGATAAAGAAAGAATAATTGGGGGATCTTTCTGCCGCCCGGGAGCATGTCCTTGGCAGGTAACACTACTGCACTTAAATGGTTTGATAAAATAGCCTCATTTTATATTATTAGAATTGCAGGGCCAAATTCCTTTAAGAAACAGCAGGGTGCAATCTTTTGCAACGGAAGTTAATTCTGAGTGGCAAGCTAGGAGATGAGTTCCAAAAAGCAAAGAGAGACAGAACACAGAAGTTGGAACTCTCAGTAGTTCATAATTATCTCCTTATATATTTAGCAGCATCTTTTGCAGAGATCCAGGTCTCTTTAAGGCTTGGGAGAACTGCATTTAGGCTTGGAGCCTCAGGTCACGAATGTTTTCTTTCGACAAGCACAGAGCTAACAGGGCCTCTAAAAATTGTCCAGACGTGTTCTTAAATGATACTTTGGCTCCCAAGGGAGGACAACCGACTATAGATGCTGTCCTTTTGAATAACTATTGGAAAAAGAAGGTTTGCAATATTGTTGTGGGCATATGACAAAATGGATTGCTTCACATCACTGTATTTTTGTGTATGACAATCGACCTCTGATTCAATGCTAAATAATTGAGACTGTAGAAAATTGATACAGAATTGCAGTTGGGTTAGAGAGAGAACAATTTATTTTTATTTTTCTTCCTAGGTATTGATTCAAAATAATAGAGGATACGGTTTTTGTGGGGGCAGCTTGATCAGTAGTCAGTGGGTTCTTACCGCAGCACATTGTTTCGATACTGTTAATCCACATCAAGTTACAGTGGGTAAGTTGTAGAGAAACACAAACAAAATTACAGTTTTCTAATGCTTGTTTTTCCGCACAATGTATTCGTGAAGAAGGAGTAGATTCTCTGGTTCTGGTATCACATTCCTATTGTAAAATAAATAAACACATTTCGATAAGGTGACCAACCATCCTCCTTTAGGGAGGACAGTCCTCCTTTTGTAAGTTCTGTCCTCTCTCGAAAAGTGTCCTCCTACATGTCCTCCTTTTTGATATTTGAAGACTAATCTGTAAATCTCCGTATTTGATCGATGCTGATCCAATCCGTTGTGTGTGATGTGACGTATTTGTATTTGACATGACAATTCATCAAGGCTCGGTACAGTGCGGCGAGACGCGATTATGAGCATGTGCTCCACACAGGAGAATTGTTTTGAGAGAGTGCACCGTGTGCAAGAGTGCACCATGCGCAAGAGTGCACCGTGTGCAAGAGTGTACCGTGCGCAAGAGTGCGCCGCGCGCAAGTGGCTTTGTTTTTTTTCTTCAATTTATTTATGTCCTCCTTTTCATTGTAAAAAAGTTGGTCAACTTAATTTTGAACCTTTGAAATTATAGAAGTAAGCAAACATACACATTAATGTTTCTCAGCTTCAGCACCTAACTCCCAGAATTCTCCATCTTTGTACAGTCAGAACATCTTAAAGCTGAGATTGAGAAACATTGATATACTTTAATTAATTTTATAAAATGATACTCTACTCTCATTATTTTTTGGCTTGAATATATTATGCAGGTGTACTTGATTACAGATCCCCTGATTTGCCAAGGCCTTTGGAGAGAATTGCTACTATAATGCCATTTGCTTTCTTTTTGATCCCTTCTGGTTTTGTTTTCATTACTATCATTGTTCTTTTGTTTTCTGATGTTTTGATAGATTTTTAAAAATATTATTCTTTGTTTTTAGATATTTACCAATTGTAAACTGCCCTGAGTCTCTGGGAGCTGGGCAACATATAAACGTAATAAATTATTATGGTTGGTCACACAATCAGCCATAACTGGATTATTATGGTTGGTCACAGTTTACCAGAAGTTTAGACAGGATTTAATGTTTAATCTACTTAGCAACTCCTTTCCAAGGACCTGGGATAGGCAGATGTTGTTGCTTGGTGGTGAGCTTATTTACTTATTTATGAATATTTATATGGCCACCCAACTCACTCTCAAGTGACTTCGGTCTTAAAGGTACCATCGCAGGATATAAACTGTTTTTTTTAAAAAAAAATATTTTTATTAATTTTTTTTTCTTTTTACATCGTAAAACATCATGGTATCAACAACGTTCTTAGCATCTATACAAGATTTTAGTTTAAATATCATAATACATTATATTGCATTTATCTACTATTAAATAATATCTTTAGCTATAATTACTATTCTTATATCTTTATATAGTTTACAAAATTTTATTTTACTTTCTTAAGGGTTGTTTCAATTAACATTTTTGTCTCACTTCTTGGTTCTGTTTGTTAGCCATTTATACCAATTGTTCCAAATTGTAAAGAATTCAGAGTTGTCTTTTTCTTTCAATTTCATTGTTAGCATATTCATCTCAGCACTTTCTGTTACTTTGTGTATTATTCATTGGGGGTATTTGGTGTTTTCCATACTGGCACAAAGGCTATTCTGGCGGCTGTTATAATATGTAACACTAGGTATTTTACTTCTTTCGGTAGTCTTTCTTTAATGATTCCTAATAGGAAGGATATAAACTGTTTTAAGTAAAGCTGCCTTTTGCAATTGACTGATGGTAATTTTGTCAATGCTGATGGTGTTCAAGCAGTGCTCCAGATATTTTGGGATCGTTCCCAAGGCTCCTATTACTATTGGTACTATAGTTGCCTTCTTTTGCCACAGTTATTCTACTTTTTCAGTTTTCATATATTATTTCAGAGACATCACCTAGCTTGTTCTAGGACAACCCTTTGAGCTAGTAGTCTAATGATAGTATATACTGTATTCTTCCTTTAAAAGAAACTAGTGAAAAAAATTGGAGGCACCAGTGGAAGAACAATGATAATGTTACCAATAGAAGACAATGTCATTTCAATTGCCCATAGAGTTCCTAAACAAGGTAAGACAATGAAATCTAGAAGCTCCCATGTTTTTGAAGTGCCTACTTTACAAGCATTTTAATGTACAGAATCAGTATTTCAATAACCAAATCACACTATTTCTACTTGGATCCAAGGTTATTCTTATTTTTTTGTTTTTCACTTTCCTTTTTTCCACTGTCAGCACCTGCTTGTATTTTTCTCCCCACACTTTTATTTGTTTTTCAGGAGACTTTGACAAACATCAGCGAGAACGAGATGAACAAAAAGTGAGAGTACGGCGCTACTGGAGACATCCTCAGTATAACTCACAGAACTACAATAATGACATTGCTTTGGTCCAATTGACTAGCAATGTGATTTTCACCCAAAATGTACTTCCTATCTGCCTTCCTCATCCTAACCTAGCTACTTTGCTAATTGAAGATATAGCCCAGGGAACAGTTAGTGGATGGGGTGCAACTTATGCTAAGGGTAAGTTAACTCGCTTTCTCATGAAAATTAAGTTGCCCATTGTGAGCATGGAAACCTGTCGACAGTCAACCGAGAAGCTCATTACAGACAACATGTTTTGTGCAGGCTATGATACGGAAGGGCAGGATGCTTGCAAAGGAGATAGTGGTGGACCTTTTGCTGCGACTTATCACAATACTTGGTATCTATTGGGGATCGTCAGTTGGGGGGAAGGTTGTGCTGAAGTGGGAAAATATGGAGCTTATACTTTAGTATCCAATTATATTTCATGGATAAAAGAAGTAATTGAAGCTAATGGTGAAGTTGTTTTACCTTACCTGCCGTGAAGGCCAATCTGTATATAAAAAAAGAAAAAATTGTGCATTTGATAATACGGTATTTAACAACTTGAATAGCCAGGTCACATTGCAGGTTTGTTTCCTATAGCTGCTCTTAACTGAAATAAACAATTAAGTTACCATTTTCTTTGTACAGAAACAGAACTGTTCTATAAATCTGTATCAGCATCCCATTTAGATTTAAGCATAAGCAACTAGATAGGTAGAAATACTGCCTCAGTACTTCCTTCCCAAAGTGATTTTTAACCCTTGTAAAAGACTTCAAAGATACTGACAAAAATAGCATCACAATGTCATGCCACAAGTTGTTTCTTTCATATGTTTGAACAAGATCAGGATATATGTTAAAAAGGGTGGGACTTCCTACAACTCTGCTCTCATCACTCTGATCCTACCTTGAAATATTTCTCTCTACCCCCACCTTCACAAATGCCATGGGGTTGTGTGATCCTGCAGAGTACAGTAGGCTATGGCGGAAAAGGAAGCACCAAACATTCAATTTGTGTTTATACAAACATGCATAATATGACTGACCAGACTGACAAACCATTGTCATGGATTCACAAAATACATTTGAACTCTAAAATAACCAAAGATGAAAACCCTGCAGCTACACAACTTGCCATGTTTAGTTACTGTTACTCTTGAATAGCTTTTTGTGTTGGCCAAAAAAGACCCCATAAAAGCTTTTCTTAATTGCCAGGTTTTTAATTGACCTGGTTAGTTGTCTCTCATTATTTTCAGAATGGTGGATGCAGAGCTGCTTCTGTCAATCCATTCCATGCATCTAAATAATGATCTAAGTCAATATTGCAACAGTCCAAGGAGGAAAAAGGAATATAAAGTAACTTGCATTCCATAAAGTGGGTAGGGCCAAATGAAAGAAAAGATTAGACAATTTGATTTTATTCCATTAATTAAATTTGAACAAAATATGGTTCAACTTATTACTTTTGAAGCAGTATGCCTAAGAATACGCATTTATGCCTCATAGTTGTAAGAATGTCAGTACTGTATCTTGCAGCAACAAGTCAGAACAGTAGTGCCAAAAGCAAACTACAAGGATGGCTAGAATGACAGGTGCTTGATGACATTATGAACTTCCATTTTGGCTTTGGATGCGCACCAGTCATGCTATTTGCATGAGGCCATTGTCAGGCAGATTTTGCTCTCCCCACCCCTCAAGCTCGTAATGCTACCTACTTTGGGAACTCAGCCCAAGCCGATCAATTGCATGTATCTGAAATACAAGAACAAGTTCCTCTTCCAATATGGAAAACAGTTCTACAGAACATCATATTTTACATGATTTCAGCAAACGGTGAGGAGAAAGATGTCAAGAAAAGAATGTTTCACATTCTTCAAATCAGATTCCCAAATACAGCCAGGATTGGATCAGAATTAGTCAGAGCATGTAAGCAAAAATAAAAGCTTTTGAGCATTTTTACAACTGAACAGATGAGACCCTATGAATGAAAACATATTTCATTTTAATTATTAAAATTGTGAACTAAAAGGTGATTACAAAAAGCAACAGGTTTCTTTTTTAATCTTTAGATATGTTTTTCCTTACTTCTTTCTCTCACCCGTTTATTTCTAAAAGCCTTATTTATCTCCCACATATTAAGTGTCTAGCTGCTGCATAGTTTATTAATTTAAGAAAATATTCTACTGAAAACTACTATATTAGCCTTGCCATCTTCAAGGGGAAAGATAATAAATAAAATAAATAAATAAATCTGGATATACCCTTGAAAACCAAGAACTTTGTGAGGGCCTCCAATTGCTTGAATAATATGTTCCACCCAGCAGTAGTAAAATTATAGATTGCTACCATTGTTCCCTGGAGTGGGAGTTAGAGAACATAAACCTGCTGAACCTCCTCACATCACATTATTTAATGATTGCAGGCTAATATGATTGAAGAGAGCCCATTTGGTGTAGTAGTGAAGTATCAGGCTAGAAACTGAAAAGCTGTGAGTTCAATTCCTATCTTAGGGTACTTAAAGTAAAGTAAATGGCATATATTTTATTTCTTTTCCTTTACCACTATTATCTGTGGTAGTTCTAAGCTCTTAAATTTTTAAACAAGTAATTTTTAAATTCATATTCATTCTTAATAAACAGCATATTCCATTCCTGTCATTATTGTTATAATTGGATGTCTAATTTTGAGCATCAGCTCAGCAGATGCCATCAGACAGTGAAACATATTGCAGGAATTTCGATGAATCCACATGTTCCTATTGTGATCAGGGGTAGAATAAGACAGGGTTAGCTACCGGTTGAGTCATTTACAAGGTTTGGTGATTTATGATATGCTTCCTTGCACGCTGCAAGAGCGCGTGCCTGTAAATCGTCATCAGCATGCTGTGTGCAGACACAGCCTTTGAAACAGCCCTCTTTTCCTGCCTTTTTAACTGCAGCTGTGCCTCGTTCGGCAGCTGAAGTTGAAAAATCAGGAAATAAAGATCAGGTAAGAGCCCAGGTGGGCGGGTGAGCAAAAACATCAGAAGACATAGAACCAGTTCTGTCTGCTGCTCTTCAGAGCTACCGGTTCTAGAGGTGGACAGAACCAGTAGAAACCCCACCCCTGATTGTGATCCTAAGTGTATTAATGACTTCAGATGATTCTGTTTTAAATCATCATCAGGCCATTGCAAAAAAGCAGCTTTGTTTGGAACAGCTTACATCCCCTGACAATATCTCTAACCCCTTCAAATATTAATAGCTGTCTACCATCTCAGGTCTTTGAAAAGGATCTGATAGAAAAAATCCAGTCTGAATATCTGGCTGACTCTATAATAGGAAGTGGAATTTCATTACTTCCAACTATTGTTGCTTAAATGCGTTCATTCTGTGATAAAGCATTAAAATACATGACAATGCATTTACAGAATAGATGAAAGAGATTATAAGGTTCAGAAGATTCTTAAACCCCATGATATAAGCTGTTTAATATGTTTAATATTAAATGTTTAATATGTTCTTTCTGTATCTTCAAAAATGTGATGTGTTTCTTAGTCTCAAAGTAAAAAAATGTATTAAAGAAAAAGATGGCTTATCATAGTATTATTTGGTTAGTTAACAGAAATCTACACAGTAGGTAGACACATTTACCTCTAATTATAAAAATATAACTTAAGAATGTAAGCTCTTGTATTCTTTGAGGCTTCAGAATAGAAAAACTTCTATATACCCATTCAATTCACAAAACATCACACAAACCCCACCTCAGAAACAGATTTTTAATGTATGAGATTTGCAGCAATACAAGGTTTTGTCTGTACAAAGGAGACAAGAGGTAAGGGTTAAATAAAACCATAATGAACAATGTCCCAGGGTTCATAACCCTGAATCTACATGTATTATAATCAGCTGAATCAACAATTTGAAGATGCGCTTAAAAACCCCAAAGTTTTTCTTAAAAAATGTACACCTCTTCTGAGAGTCTATACAGGAGACCATCAAAGGTGATTCCGGGGAAGGTCACAATGGCATTTTATTGCCTTCAATGCTGATTTTTACAGCATGGGATGTTCTGCTTTTTTTCCTGATGTCTGTGAACTTCCGCATCTGTTTGTCCAGGCGACTGACCCCTTTCTTGGAACTAGCCTGGAACTTGAAAGAAAACTTTAATTTAGTATTAGAATAGACATCAATGACATATTGATGTTTATGAACCACAAAAACATACATACACCGTTCCTTGTTGCAGTTGCTACCTTTCATCACAGAAGCTGGTAACACCATGAGGGACTCTCAATAGCTTACTTTCAAATGCAGTCTAGAGATGTACTATATATTACATATATATATATATACAAAAGAAATACTGCTTTTTAGAAAAATTGACACAATTCTTCACATGCTGCTGAAGTTCAGAATCTAGACTGTGAATTTAAAACTCAAGCATTAGTTCGGCTATTCAGACAGACCTCATTCATGAGAAAGATAGGAAACAAGCATTGCATAAATCACTGCAGTGTGCAAAAAGGACAGTTCACAGGAACATTAAGGGCATTATAAGAAATCTATTAATGACCCTCTGATATCTTAGGCAAGGTTTATTTTCCTCTTCTAATTTAACATTCACTCGTTTCTAAACATCAAAGGTAGCAAGAAATATTTAGAAGATTCTGTGATGGACATACAATTCTGACTATTCCCATAATTAAATGAACTGTTTAACAACTGGCTACCGACATAATTACTTTATGTTCTCAAGGTTTAATGCTATGTTTAAAAACTAAGCACCTTTTCCTATGTTGGATAATTATGTTTTAGGTTTTTATTGTACTGTATATTAAAGCAAATAAAAATCTATTTTAAAAGATTATTAACTCCACAATCTTTTGCAGATTGGCTTGGTAAATACAATATGGAAAATATAGCAGTGAGGACAAGAAAAAGGGAAAGTTTATGATGCATCGCCACCCCTATCTAGAGTATTAATTGATTGAACCCCACTGAATTTCTTTCAACTGTTTACAGCAGGCATTTTCTCTTTGCACCCTGATAGAGAAACATATGTCGCTGCCTAAGACTAAACTCTCAACCTCCCGATGGTGAGGCGAGTATCTGCACCTCTGCATATGAATGGGATTCCAAACCATTAAAGTATCTAGTATACATAATAACATATTGTATAAGACAAAAGTAGCAAAATAAGAAGTAGCTGCATGACAAATGAAAGAAGAATATTATTAAACAGTTTCATGAAGAATGTTTTACAAATTTAGCTTACACTTTAGTGGTATTCATGGCAACAGACACAACAAAATAAAACAAGAAGCAGAATGCTGCATTATTCATAGAAAATATCTCAAAATCTGTATTAGGACCAAACCTTTGTTAAACCTTTTACCAAATAATGTCAAAGATCTTGAGTTGTGATGTAATTCCCAAGACTTCTGGGGGAAGATAGCTGACCAAAGACAGGAGGACTCAAGATAGCTCTGTAGACAAGCGGAACTGACACTACAGCTTTGTACACGGGAGCCAAAGCAGACTGGCTCACTTTAATCTTTTCTGGATCAAACAGAACAATGTGAGATTACCCAAGCTGATTCTTCTTATGGCTGGTCATTCTCCTCATGAGGACACCCCAAGACAGCAATCT